TTTTTTTTTTTTGTAAATGTATTGAAAAAGGATTTGATTGAAATTTTAAAAAAGATTTTTCTTTAAATTGAATTATTTCATTCGATATGTATTTAATGTATCTCGAACATTTAAAGTAATAATTATTGAACCGATATCTTATCACGAATATTTTACGATATTTTATTTATAAAGAGTTATTTTATTTCAAGGAAGTAAAACCAGATTTTCGAGAAATGTTTTTTTGAGAACGTTAAAATTACACATACATTCTCCTGATGCATCCAATACGATAAAAGTCCAAATAGAGAAAAAAGAACGTAGTTCTCGAACAGAGACAAATAAGTGTTTGCGCTTGACCCATATTCCTTTAACTTTGTAAAGTGAAACGTTTGAGAAATAAACAAAAAACTAATCAACAATTTAAAAACAATTTAAATATCTATTAGATAAAAGGAAAACGTTTAAACATAAAATAAATTCTCAACCAATGTTGTAAATTTCAAGATACTTTTTTCATTTGTACGAATAAAATGAATATGAAGAATATTCCATAATTTTTCTCCATTTGATTCACTTGATCTTTCTTTCTAAATCAAAAATCATATATATAATAAACGCTCGAATAATTGATATCATTTGAATGAAAGATCTTAAAACAGGCGTTATCTCGTAGAAAATATTCTCTCAAGAATATATTAAAAATTAAAAAAAAAAATTACCCAAATTAAACGGTCAACAACGAAATGCATCGATGCATTTACTCCAAGTGAAAATCCTTTCAAGTGGATCCAAGACACCGAAGGCTAACCTTGACCCGAAAAAGCGTCGAAGAGCGGAACCGGAAGCGTGGACGTTGCGCGTGGTTGTCGATCGTCGTAGAAACGATTCGCACCGGCAACGTTTCGTCGTGTCACGTCGTGGCTAGGTGGATGTACCCTCGAACTACTACTCTCCGACAGATGGAGGGAACACAGAGGTGGTGGAGGAACAGGCAGAGCCAGGAGGTGGCCGAGAGGAAGAAGAAGGGAAAGAGGTAAACGCGTATCGTAATGCACAATGGTGCATTAGCCAGGAGTAGACGGTCAGACGATCTCTCCCGCGGACCGATCGAAATTCGGTCTATCGAGGAGCGGAGAGTTATTTCGAACGTGTAAAATCGGTCCAGAGGGAGGTAGCCAACGAAGGGAGGAAGAATTCATGTCACACGCGTATGATTCGATCAATTTCGAAAGGATTCTGTTCCACCTTCGCTCTTCGTCTTTCGAGAACAATCGAACACCCGGTATCCAGGAGTCGAACACGCCGTCCCGCATGATTCTAATCGCGAACGCTTGGAAGTTTTTTTCACTTGGCATCATTGAAGGCACAACATCGAAGGAGGCAAGGAGTTAAGAGAAGTTGATTACGAAGATTACGAGTTACATAGATAGAGAACTACTACGAAAAAAAAAAAAACAAAAAAAGAAAGAAATAGCAAGAATATTACTTAAACACATTTTTCGAATAACTCGGCGTTTGTTTAAGGAGAGATGGCGGACAAAACTAATTCGTCCACGATGGAAAAGAAACGGGGAGAGACGATCGGTAACCAGGTGATATCCGAGAAGGCGGTCGTCTGGAAATCCATGACGTTGCGCCAGAAATGGTCTTACTTCACAAGAAACATCACCGTGGAGCCTATGATAGCTTGCTACGTGATCCCTTGCATGCTTGCCTCCCTCGCCACGCAGAATCTGAGCTTGGAAAAAGCGTGCAGGGTGAACTTGGCCTATCCCGACGACGTTTGCACGGCATTGGCCAGGAGGAACACTACCGGCTACGAGACTGAGGAGACCGCCGTGCAGCAATTGGTAGCCGGTATGCAGACGTGGAAAACAGCCCTGTCCAGCGGATTGCCGACCATCTTGATCCTGTTCATGGGTTCCTGGAGCGACCGCACCGGATTGAGGAAACCGTGCATGCTGTTGCCCATCGTTGGCGAGTTTCTGAGCAGCGTCAGCATGCTGTTGTGCACGTACTTCTTCGACGAGGTGCCCATGGAGGCCACGGGCGCGCTCGAGGCATTTTGGCCGGCGTTGACGGGGGGCTGGTTCACGATGTTCATGGGTGTTTTCAGTTATATCGCGGATATCACGTCCGTCGAGTCAAGGACTCTAAGAATCGGTGCTGCTAATGTTTTCTTGTCGCTCGGTGTCCCGATCGGGATGGCTTTGTCCGGGATATTGTATCTGAAGCTTGGATTCTACGGTGTATTCAGCATCTCGACCGTGTGCTACGTGTTGAGTTTCATTTACGGATTAGTGGTGATCAAGGAACCGCCTAAGCCGCATCTCAAGAAAATGGAAAAGGCGGATAAGGAGAAGATGTCTGTGTGCGCCTCGATCATCGACTTTTTCGCGTTCAAACATATCGAGGAGACTTTCCGCGTCGCGTTCAAACAGAGGAGGAATAATAGGCAGAAGAGGATGCTGGTGCTCATGGTCATCGTTATGGTTGTGATTGGTCCACTTTATGGTAAGTTTATTTTTGCAAGTATTATTATTGTTATTGATCATGTTTATTGTTTTTTATATAATTTTGGCTTAATCTAATTCCTATATCAAATGCAAAATCTCACGAGAAATCGTTAAATCTTTCGATCTTTCGAGAATGACATTTAAGATAAATTAAGTTCATCTTTTTTTACACTTAGGATCTGCAAACTTTTCTTTCGTGTATATATTGCCTATATCAATCTATTTAAAAATGGATCATTTTATGAAGTTACTGCGATGTATTTTTCTGGTTTAAATTCATCGTTAAAATCAAACGAAAATTTTATTCATTTGGTTATCGAATAAAGGCTTTTCCTGTAGTAAACCTCTATTTCTATCAACTTTCACAATTTCCACATCGACGATTGACATGCCTAACTGATAGATAGGTAGTAAACCAGTATGTCTCTATGTCGACGGATAAATGAAAGTATGAGAAATTTTATTGCTAATCTTGTTGTACAGATATAGAATAATCGATAGAATTTCTGGCTGAGAGAGTCATTGTGAGATGATTTGAACAAAAAAAGAAAAAAAAGAAAAAAGGAAATTGGTAGATAATTATTAATAGATAAATAAATTTAATCCATGTTTCTACGATGAACGAAGATACGCAGGAAATATGGAAATATGGAATAGCTCACATAGAGCTAAGTGAAAGTATGATTAATGATTCTGTTTTTCTCCGTTGTTTTAGCCTTGTAAATGTCATAATCATCGTGTTCCTTTAGGCGATCTTCTTGATTTCATTTTAATTTTTCAACGAGGAAATTTTTCTTTATTATATAACAATAATTATCTTTATTCCTTTTTTTTTCAGACTATTCGAACGTACGTGAATTTTCTTTTATCAATAATACCTTTCGATAAATCTTTTTTAATAATAAATAAAATTTTTCTCTCGAATCTATCACGGACAAAAATATCTCGAATGAATCACAATAATATTTATTTACGTATGTCAATAATAACATCATTGTTGGAAAATCGATTCATATTCAAATTAGCTTATCTCTGTTTCCTCTGGTATGCAATTCTTTCCTTTTATTAAATTTTTTTTTTTTTTCCTTTCATCGATTATTTTGTTTTCATTCGAATGAATGAATGAATAAATGAATGAATGGACCTAGTGTCCCCGTTTTCTTCGAATGATCACGATGCTAATCTCGAACGACAATACGTTTCCATCCGTCAATTAATGGATTATTAACGCATCACGAATTCGTATTGCAACAGAGAATTCAAGGCGAGCGTCCTTGTCATAATTTAATTAGATCGCTAATGCGCCGGACATTATAATGTTTCGTTGCGTCTTTATCCATCTTGCAAAGGCATGGGTAATCATGCTGCTTATAACAATTTCGTGTAATGATCTTCTTCCTGATTTTGAAAGGCCAACAATTATACGTCCGTGCACATTCGTACGATTTCTATTGTTTTTTTATATCGGATTTAATAGAGAATATTAGAAAAGTTATATCCTGTTGGTAAAAATTCTACTCTTCTTGAGTTGAAATAACTTATTTGCTTAATTTTTTTGTTTTTTAAGATACTGGTCAAAAGTTTAGAATTTTCGTTTCCAGTTATATCAAGATTTTATTGCTAATTTTATTATCATTTTTTTTTATCAAATATAAATAATAATTTCATTTGTCTCAACAAATATTATACGTATTCTAAGGAATATATCAGTGATTTGAAATTTCACACATATCTTTTAAGAAAGCTCATACAAATTTTGAAAAAATTTTGAAAAGATATGTTAGGTAAAATATTTTAATAATGAGGAGGGCAAAATTGTAATTGGAAGCCATCTTTAATGATCGAAAGGAATGGATATACTCTCTTTTAAAGATATAATTGATACATAAAAAATGATTTTAATTTTATTTTATTTTATTTTTTAAATTTAAAATAATGATTGACATAATCTCGTGTAAAATAATCTCACGTTTATTTAATTTTAATAAACGAAGCATATAATAATAGGAAGAATAGAAACAATGTGACGTCAAAGAATTAGAATCGATGAGATAATTGATCTATCGATACGTCAGCTACAGGGAACATATTATTTTCAATCATCCATGAAATTGTGTAATTGGATCGTGCAATTGTCGAACGCTAATTAAATCAATCGTCACTGTTAATTCCATCGAATTCAACTACTCCCTTT